CCCCCCCCGCCCCCCTCCACCGCCTCCTCCAGGCCCCTCATTTCTTTTCAACTAAAGACCATCGTGGAGACCATCTGTGGCCCCCGAGGCCACACTCCTTACGGGTCACCCTGTAACTCCAGAAGAGGCCGGGTCAGCCCCCCGTGACCCAGCTGCAGAGACCTGAGAGAAGCGGCGTGTTTGCACACAGACGGAACGACAGCGAACTCACGCCCGCAGACACTGTACCTGCATCGGGTACTCCAGCACCGGGACTTCCTCCCCATCGGTCGGCCCAAACTGACGCCTGGTGGCTGAGAAGCGCAGAGCGATGGACACGGCCAGCTTCAGGTTCACGACGGACATGGCCACGATGGCGACCCGGCCGAACGCCAGGCTGCCCAGGGACTTGCTGAAGTGCTGCCCCGCGTCCTGTGGAAGAAGAGCGGACGGCGGTGGACCCGGGACCCGCGGGCCACCCCGGGGACGGGCACGGGGGCGGAGGGGCGCGCCTGTCCTCGACCAACACTCCAGGCCCAGCCCCTGGGGCACCCCAGACACAGCCCCCCCTGGGGCTGAGTGGCACGGGGGGCGGGTGCGGTATGCCCATCACAGGACGGTACGGGGGACACCCAGCCCACAGGAGGAAGGGGCCCCGGGCAGACTCGCTATCTGTGCAGACCTACAAGCTGCCACGTGGAGGCAGGAAGCCCTGCTCTCGATCTCACCGAGGACCAGACGCAGCTCTGCCGAGAGCGAGGCTGGAGGCGAGGGCGGAGAACACAACTGGTGCCAACATCTTCTTCGTAAAAAGGGCTCCCACCCCGCTCCCCCGGGATTCCTGCCTCCCTGTCGAGCCACCATCCCAAGGGCTGTGACAGTCATCAGGACAGTCATCCGTTGTTCTCTGTGATCTTTTGTTGTTTGCTGTTGTTCAGCTGCCCAGCCGTGTCCGACTCTTTGTGACCCCATGGATGGCAGCATGCCAGGCCTCCCTGTCCATAACCACCTCCCGGAGTTTACTCAAACTCACGTCCATCGAGTCGGTGATGCCATCCTACCATCTCATCCTCTGTCGGCCCTTTCTCTTCCCGCCCTCAATATTTTCCAACATCAGGGTTTAAAACTAGCAATTGTCTGTGTGCATCTATCTTCAATTTGTTCTAAGTTTCAAGGTGCTTACCATGGTCCCTCATAGCAGCTTGGGTTTCAGGCCCATTGGTGGCGCTTGGGTACATCGGCCTGACAGTCTCACCAAACAACGTGATCATGTGTGCCTGCCTCATCCCGTGCTCCTTCTCCCGCTTCATTTATTTTATTATTCAGGCTTTTCTTCCAAAACTATGTCCACTTTGGTATTTGTGCGGCAGCCTTCCAAGCCCCTGGCCATGAATATTTACTATGTTCTCACGCACGAATGACAGCTTCGCTGAGTTTAGAAGAAGCACGTGTACGGCTGTTTTCCCTCCGTGGTGAGAAGCATCCTCTCCCTGACTGCTTTTGGCCAGAGTCACACCGGGAAAATCGGAGGTCAAGGGGCTTTGACTCCACGGGAGCCGCTCTGCCTCCTGTCCCGGGGAGGGCTCGGGGTCTCCTCTCTGAGGTTCTGGTATTTCTTGACAGTGAGCCTGGGGTGAGAGCCCCGACCCCCTGTATGGGACCCCCGCAGTCGAGATAGTCTTCCTTCCATAATTTTGAGCCCTCTGTCTCCGCTGTTTCTAGGAACTGTCTCTGGGTTCTCTGCATCCCTGCCTGCCGCTTGCTTCACTGAAGTTCAACCCCGCTGGGTCGACCCCCTCCGCTGGCTTCTCTCGTCTGCCTCCACACTTCCGGGCTTCATATCACTGTTTCCTCTTCTGAATGGCCTCCTGTGTCACTTCCAGCCTCTCTCCTGATCAGCAGGTACTTGTCACGTTCACTGAAGCGCTGCTCTTGGCTCCGAGCAGCCTACGTGTGGCGTTGGGTCATCCCGGCCGTGGGTTCAGGACCGGGGGGGCTCAGCCACCCTGACCTGGCCAGGTCTGGAAGGGCCCAGAGCCGGGCCCCTACACGTCCACCCTCAGTGAACTTCCGGGCGCAGTCAGTCCCAGATGCTAGAGGACACGGTCGCCCCCGCGGGTGCCCGGCCCAGCGGGCAACCCTTCCCTCTCCCCGCTGTGGGAAATAGCGCTGGTGGGGGCAGCCTCCTCAGCTGTAACCCCAGGGGGCTGGTGAGGATTGTGGGGGGATTTCATGCCTGGGACCCCGGGGGTGCGGTGGACCCAGGCGCCCCCTTCCTTGGTGGAGGCGCCAGGACCTGAGCCTGGAGAGGTTGGCACAGGCCTCCGGCTCCCGTGGCGACTCTCCTCCCCCACCAGCGGGGTGCATGTCCTGTGGACCCAGAGGGGCCGGTTTCCTCACCCACAGACTCCCCCACCCCGGCCTGGAGGCTCCGGTACCTTGACGTGGGTGATGTAGGCGCCCTCAGGGGTGACGTCTCCCGAGCGGTTCAGCAGGTCCCGGCGCGGAATCCTGACCTTATGGAACATGGCGAACCTGTGCGGGGACACGGCTTCTGGTTAAATGGGGGGATGGCCCCAGGGCTCACCTTCCCCTCCCGAAACCCAGTCAAATCAAAGTGAAGGACAGCTCAGAAGGTGATGTAACCCCCCAGAGACCAGAAAACCCCGAGAGCAAACTCAGGAGGGAAGACACGGGAGACCGGGTGTCTCAACAGATCTTTCTATCTGTGAAAGCAGGCTCTATCTGGTTTTTTATTTTTTGTAGTTTGTTGTTGTTGTTTGCTGCCCTGCATGGCTTGAGGGATCTTAGTTCCTGGACCAGGGGTTGAAGCCGGGCCTTCAGCAGTGAGAACATGGAGTCCTAACCACTGGACAGCCCTAGCTTTCCCCAAAAAAGCTTAAACAAAAACTGTAGTGTGAGTGGTGGGTTCTATATGAAACAAATTGGTCGCTGTCTGTTGGTAATGATGGAGACCCCCAACCCCCAGCTGCCCCTGGACACTCAGGTCACAGGGCCGCACACAGGCTCCTACTACGCTGGGAGGGAATGCCCTCGGCGTGGCTGGACAAGCCCGGATGACATCCTTCAGTAGGAAACGCGGACCTTCTTCCCAAATGTGAGGATCTCTGACTCTCGCGCTTGGACCCCGCACCAGAGTCCCCCACACGGGGCAACAGAGCCAGCAAACTGGGCTTCAGACCTCCCAAGTCAAGCAGAAGGATGAGCTGTCCCGTCGGGGCTCCAGATGCAGGGGTCAGCTCCCCTGAGCAGCTGGAGAACACGCCTGCGCACACATACCCAGGGGTCATGCATATGTCAGTAGTCAAAGGTATGTTCTATGGTTGTCAGGAAGGAAGCTCTAACTCACAGTAGTCCAGGGGCAAGGCTGTGCAGAGTACCGCGTGGTGCAGAAACTGCCAAACAAACACCCCAAACCATCTATGTCAACACTTGCTATAGCAGCTTGGGCTTCCCAGGTGGCACGAGTGGGAAAGAATTCGCCTCCAAGATAGTGAAGTCGCTCAGCCATGTCCGACTCTTTGCAACCCCATGGACTGTAGCCCACCAGGCTTCTCCATCCATGGGATTCTCCAGGCAAGAATACCAGAGTGGGTTGCCATTTCCTTCTCCAGGGGATCTTCCCGACCCAGGGATCGAACCCAGGTCTCCAGCATTACAGGCAGACGCTTTACCTCTGACCCATCACGGAAGCCCAAAGTGATCTAGGAAAGTGAAAGTCGCTCAGTCGTGTCCAACTCTTTGCGACCCCATGGACTATACAGTCCATGGGATTCTCCAGGCCAGAATACTGCAGTGGGTAGCCTTTCCCATCTCCAGGGGATCTTCCCAACCCAGGAATCAAACCCAGGTCTTCCGCATTGCAGGCAGATTCTTTACCAGTTGAGCCACAAGGGAAGCCCAATACAGTACTCTTAAAAGACACAGGCTTGATCCCCGGGTTGGGAAGATCCCCTGGAGGAGGGCCTGGCAACCCACTCCAGCACTCTTGCCTGGAGAATCCCATGGACAGAGGAGCCTGGTGGGCTGCAGTCCATGGGGTCACAAAGAGTCGGACGGGACTAAAGCGGACACGACTCATGCACACAAGCATAGCGCCTTATCGGATTTCTAAGCATTTTCAGTGCCACACGCGACCCTCTCTTAGTGAACCACAGGAAGCAGTTCTGTGAGGGAGAGCAGCGCCCTTCGGAGAAGGCGGACGGCTCCTCGCCCCCAGCTCACCCCCAGCCCCTCCCCAGATCCCCAGGTCACGCACGGCACCCCCCCCACCATCCAGTCAGCATGCTCACCTCCACCTCCGACCCAACGTCCTCACGGTCTGTGCCTCTTCTGGCCTGATTTCCTCAACAGTCTCCACCTTGGTCTCTCCAGGCCCCACCTCGTCCCCACCCCGTCCCGCACACGGGGGCAAAGGCCTATTGCAAACTTCAGCTAGGGATGGTCACACCTGGCACAAGAACCCTGGATCCCTGGGACCAACAGAATCGAAACCCGCAGGAGGATGTGGTAAGCCCTCCGACAGGACCGCTGCCCACTCCTCGTGGCCCCCCACCAGGCAGCATCTGCGTGCAACCTTCAAGCCGGCCAGGCCCTCTCCAGACAGGCAGGTGGGTCTTCTGAGCACTGCCACCTCCTCTGAGAGGCCTGCCACGCCTCCCCACCCCTCCCAATGATGAGCCCTGGGTGGTCCCACAGCACCACAAGACGGAGGTCCCATCCACGTTGCTCGCTGAGTCACCTGCTTCTCAATGGGAGCTAAGCCAACTTGTTATAAGGGGCCACGTGCCCGGAACCAAGCGATCAGGGTCATGGATGAGCCAGCCAGGAGTGAGACTTCATCCCCTGGGAGCCGGTACAGTCTGCACAGACCCCCAAGTCAGGGGAGAGCCTGGGGCTGACACAGCCCGTGCCCCGGGGAAGAGTCGAGGCCAGGGGCGGGGCATCTGGAGGCCCCTCCCAAATCCCTTCGGGATCTCCTAGGATTCTGCACCTCAGGCCACAAGGCCTCCGCCAGCATCCAGGCAAGGGGTCTCCCTCCCATGTCCAGAACACAGGCCCAGCCTGCGCGTCTGAACGCGCTGGCCTGGAGGCGGCCACGCGGCAGGCGTCTGTGGGGCTCAGACCCCTGCGTCCTGAGAACACCTGGCCGCAGTGCCGACGCCCCCCGTGTGGTCCAGCCCATTACTGGAAAGCCACGGGAAGCCGCGGGATGCTCTTCCAAGTCTGCTGCTGTGAACTCGCAGCACCCTTTTTAAGGAGTGGAAAATCTTCACCCGCCCCTGCCACTCGGGGGACAGAACCAGGCTGAATGTATTTATACTTGCAAAAAGAGTCGCCTGGGGTTTAACCGAAATCAGAATTTCACACGTTCTTTTCTGAGTCACAGACAGTCAACGCTGGCCAGCCTGAAGGCCGGAATCCCGTGTCCATGGAGGACACAGGTGTGTGTATGCGCGTGCGGTGGGTGGCAACGGGTATGACATGGGGATATGAACATGCAGTGTGTCTGGCTCCCTGGCCCTGCACCCCTTCCCTCCTGGACCCCCCACGTCAGGTCCTAACAATTTCCTTGCTCCGTGAGGCCATCCCAGCCCCAGCTGGGACCAAACGCTTCCCCGAGAGGCCACTGAGCAGGCGTGAGGAGGCCTGCAGCCCATCTTGAAGGTGAGGCTCAACGGCTCACCCGAGGGGTCTTTACTATCTTACTTTCAGAGTTATTTGACTAAAAGTAATCCACGTAATTAACACCTGCCTCTGATTTCTAGACAGGCTTGCCTTGTGGCTCAGCTGGTAAAGAATCCGCCTGCAATGTGGGAGACCCCAGTTTGAGTCCTGGGTCGGGAAGATCTGCTGGAGAAGGGACAGGCTGCCCACTCCAGTGTTCCTGGGCTTGCCTTGTGGCTCAGCTGGTAAAGAAGTTGCCTGCATTTGAGTCAGTTCTAGTGAGGTGGATGGAAACTGGAGCCTATTATACAGGGTGAAGTAAGTCAGAAAGAAAAACACGAATATAGTATATTAACGCATATATATGGAATTTAGAAAGATGGTAACGATGACCCTATCTGCGAGACAGCAGAAGAGACACAGATATAAAGAACAGACTTTTGGACTCTGTGGGAGAGGGTGAGATGATTTGAGAGAATAGCATGGAAACATGTCTATTACCATATGTGAAACTGATCACCAGTCCAAGTTCGATGCATGATACAGGACACTCAAAGCCGGGGCATTGGGACAACCCAGATGGGTGGGATGGGGAGGCAGGGGGGAGGGGGGTTCGGGATGGGGGACACATGTACACCCGTGGCTGATTCATGTCAATGTATGGCAAAAACCACAATATTGTAAAGTAATTAGCCTCCAATTCAAACAAATAATTAAGAAAAAAAGAATCAACCTGCAATGCGGGGGACCTGGGTTCGACCTCTGGGTTGGGAAGATCCCCTGGAGAAAGGAAAGACTACCCACTCCAGTATTCTGGCCTGGAGAGTTCCATGGACTGTACAGTCCATTGGGTCACAAAGAGTCGGACATGACTGACTTTCACTTCGCTGATTTCTAGACAGCCTTCTTGCAGACTCATGCACTCCTGTGATCCACCTACACATTGTTACTGCTTTTAAAAAAAAAAAAAACAAGAGGTCTCTGGACAAAAAGTCACTCCATCACAGCACTGCCCTGCAAGCAGCGGGCAAGTGGGGGAAGCAGGGACTCAGATCCCGGGCGCCCTCTGCTGGGCATGTGCCCCCCGGCCAGGAGGGACAGCGGCGTGTCCAGCAAGGCGGGCCCCTGGCCCCATCCCAGCCCCAGCCCAGGGCAGGGGGTCTGAGGGGCCCCAGGCGCTACAGAACCTCCAAAGGCTCAGGGACCGAGTGAGGCTGCTTCCACGTCCTGTCCGCCGAGCATCCCCTTGGAACGGCTCGGAACGGCGACTCGGATCTCGGGGAGCCGCTCTGGGCCCGGCTTCGCAGTGGTCACCATGCTGCCCCCTGGCGGCCCCCCGGGCCGGCACGGCTGAGACTTACCGGCGCTGGCTCCTCCCACGTGACGCGTTTACTTGGAGGAGGGCCTTGGTGGCCGGGGGGGGAAGCTTCTGCCTGCAGTGTGGGACCCCGGGGCTCAGGCCCTGGGCGGGGAAGATCCCCTGGAGGACGGCACGGTGACCCACTCCAGTATTCGTGCCTGGAGAATCCCATGGACAGAGGAGCCTGCAGACCTACAGGCTATGGGGTGGCAAAGAGTCGGATACAACTGAGCTTTTTTTTTGCTTTGTCGGTGTGACTGTGTCTCCTGGGGCGGAGGTGGGGGCGCTGTAGTTAGACACAGTACTGCCTCTAAAGCAGGAGCTGACTGGGGGGGAACCAAGTGCAGAGCGTTTCACTGATGTCCCAAAACAAGGGTAAAGGTTCTAACTCGTAAAAACCAAGACGTACGGGACCGGGAACCCATGAGACCACCTGATGCCACCCACAGACTGCAGGGACCCGGCGGCGCATGTGCACGGCTGGAGGGTCACCTCCCGCCGCCAGGCTGCATGTGGCCACACAGACCCGCTGTAGACACAGTGGCCGCACACACACTTTCTGGGCCCCGCGCTAGGGCACACGGAGCTCAAAAGGGGACAGGGCCTTCCACCCCGCCGCTCGCATGGCCCCCTTGATGCCGCCGATCGCCCAGAGGACTAAGCGGCACATAGCCTGTCCCTGCCAGGGGCCCCCTGCGCCCGCACCGAGCCACGATGGACGGAACGACGCCCCCTCCCCACCAGGTAATTAACAGGTCTTCGAACAGGCCAGTGAGAGAGGCGCTCAGAACTCTCGACGGGAATTAGTTAGACGGCTTGTGCGTGCGTATGCCTGGTTTTGCTTTTTAACAATGTCCTGCCGTCTTCTCCTCTAGCTACAGTGAAAAATCGATGGTCCTCCCCTTCTCAGGCACAGGCTGGGGCCTCACCTGTTCTGAGGGCCCGAGTGGAGATTTGAGACACTCCCCAGGCCACCAGCTCCCCAGCTTACAGGGAGGGATAGCTGAACGGACCCTCAGGGTGCTGGGAGGCTGACCACCTGGTCCGGCTTCTGTCTCAGAGACGACCTGCCTCCTGATTTATATTCAAGACGACCAGAGTCAGGGTGACCACAGGGCTCCAACTATGGCCAGACATGCTCCTCTGCTCTCTGGCTCCCCACGAAGTGGCAGATATACGATGCAACGTGACATACAGGACTAAGGAATCTCCCAGCTCTGCTTCCCCACAGGGAAGCATCTCAGGAGAACAGAAGGCGCAAAGCATCTCAGCCAGGCTTTCTGGGAGACGACAGGTGAGTCCTGCGCGAACGCTCAGCTGAGGGGCACCGACAGGTGGCACACAGCTGGGAAGACACAGCCGGCCCCCAGGCAGGGGGCCACCACGGGGACATCACGGACCAGCAGGCAGGCCGGGAAAGCTGCTGAAGGTCAGCCCGAGAGGCAGAGGTGGCCCTGGGATCTGGACCCAACTCGTTTCACTCTCAAACTCGTGCCCTGAATGAGCCGGAGAATCCCTCCGGGAGGCTGCAAGGCCCCTCCTGACATGGCTCCCCTGCCTACCTGCTCCCCGTCTAGCTCCCCAAGCCCAGGCCTCGTCTCAGACCACACTGCCCCCACTACCCCGAGCCCAGCTCTGCCCGCAGAGTGGCACGGGCGCGGGCTGGGCGCCTGAGCTCCGGGCTGGGGGAGCATGCCGGGGCCATGGGCTGAGGACTCAGGGGCTCAGACCCTGACTCTGGGCTGAGAGCTGGCATGGCCACGGGCCAGAGGCAAGTTCGCTGCTTGGCACGCAGAGCCACTTAACAGCTCCTGAGGCTGGCCTTGGAGCAGAACCCAGCTCTTCCCGACACAGTCTCTCGTTCAGAAGTGCTGCGCGTCCTGCAGGGCGTGGGGGCGGCACTGAAGTCAAGTTCAAGGGCCAGACTCACCCGTTGTCCAGGCCGTTCTGCCCCAGCTTCTTCCCAATGTCGCCGACCATCACTCCTGGCATGGGAAGAAGGGTCTTCGGGTCCCGAATCTGCACAGACCACACACACACAGAAAGATGACAGACGGCAGCTGTGAGGGCCACATGGAAAAGCAGATGGAAATGTCCAAGACCTCCCCCCACCCCGTGAACGAGCCACGGGGTGCTTGTGTGCAGCTGCCGCGGGTTAACCTGACCTCCTGAAACGTGGCCCCGCTGAGAGGGAGGGTGCTTGCAGGCATTAAGTGAGGATCTGGAGGGGAGACTGCCCTGGTTACCCGCAGGGGCCTGAATCCAACGGCCCGCGTCCTCCGAGGGTCAGAGGAGGAGAGGACACGGGGATGAGGACACAGGGGGCCACGTGCGGACGGAGGTGGAGACTGGTCGGAATCGGCTGCAGCCCAGCATCGAGGGTGTCAGCATAAGCGGGAAGAGGCGGGAGGGACCCTCCCTTTCAGCCTCTGGGCAGCGTGTGGCCTTTGTGACACCCCGACTTGGCCCCTCGTCTGTGGTACTGTGCTTGGTCACCATGGCCCCAGAACACTGGTCAGTGTGCTGTCTGGAAGACCCCAGGCACTGCCTATCCAGGCTTTAGATGCAGGACTTTCCATGGGGTGAAACGGGCCTGACAAAGGGCCGGGCACATGTATGTGGGGATTATTTTTGTACATGTCCACTGCCCCAAAAGTGAAAGTTGCTCAGTGTTGCCCAACTCTTTGCGATCCCATGGACTATACAGCCCATGGAATTCTCCAGGCCAGAATACTAGAGTAGGTAGCTGTTCCCTTCTCCAGGGGATCTTCCTGACCCAGGAATTGAACCGGGGTCTCCTGCATTGCAGGCGGATTCTTTACCAGCTGAGCCACCAGGGAAGCCCCAAATGAGCTGCCAACAAAGACAGTCACTGACACACACAGAGACGGCTGGCCAGCTGGTCCTCACACACGGCGTGATCTTTCTGCGGGTGGGATGCAATGTCCTTCTCGGGGACCCTCAGTGATTCCCAACCAGGCCCGACTCCATCGCCCTCCCCTCCTGACCAAGGGCCCCCAGCCACCATTTCTGGTGGTCACAAGTGGGGTCACTGCAGATGCCTACCGGGTGAGGGCCAGCAACGCTGCCCACACCTCACAGGTACAGGACAGCCTCACGGCATGGAATTAGCCTGCTCCCAGGGTCAAAAGCACCCAGGCTGCGAAAAAATCTGCATTAAAGAAGCACTGAATTTGTACTGTTTGGAATTTAGCTATTTGTATGAATTGCTGGCTTTTGTTCACTTCAGTGGAAGAGTTAGTTATCTTCATTGAACTTTATAATCCTGATAATTAAAATGAAATGGAATGCCAGTAACAAACAATAAGGCTTGGCAAAGATTCAGATAAAAACTCTTAAAAAAAAAATCTTGGGAATTCCCTGGGGGTCCAGTGTTAGGACTCTGCGCTTTCACTGGACAGGGCATGGGTTCAATCCCTGGTTGGAGAACTAAGGGCCCACAAACAGTGCAGAGAGTTAAAAAAAAAGAAAAAAATTAAAAATATAAAAATTATTTTAAAAACCGTTATAAAGTAGACAATGGTTTTAAAAAGAGACTGATTTTTAAGGAATCAAACAGAAAACTACTGCTAATGCCAGTTTTCAGTTCATCTAGAAATAAATAACAAAGTCCTTACAAACTTCATGTTAACCTCTGGAACCAAGGAAAGGATACTCACTAAAGTCAAAAGCAGAATTAGGTAATTTTATCCTCCTCTCAAACATATTTAATTGTATCAACGTACATATAACATTTCCCACAATAACTGGAGACTGTCAATCATATAAGATACAATAAACCTGCAATAAAATACGACCTCGCCCTCGGATACACGCTGCTCCCTAGAAAGTGAACAGACTACAAGGAGACCCTGCACAGAACAGGGAATAGAGCCAATATTTTATAATAGCTTTGTGAAAGTCGCTCACTCGTGTCCGACTCTTTGCCAGGCCAGAATACTAGAGTGGGTAGCTGTTCCCTTCTCCAGGGGATCTTCCCAACCCAGGGATCAAACCCAGGTCTCCTGCATTGCAGGCGGATTCTTTACCAGCTGAGCTACCAGAGAAGCCCAAGAATACTGGAGTGAGTAGCCTATCCCTTCTCCAGGGGATCTTCCTGACCCAGGAATCGAACCCAGGTCTCCCACGTTGCAGGTGGATTCTTTAGCAACTGAGCTATCAAGGAAGCCCATGACTTTGATAACTTTAAATAGAGTATAATCTATAAACTTCGAATCACTGTGTTGTGCACCTGAAACTAATACAGTTATAACAATAAAATACTGTAAGCCGATTACACCTCAATCTACAACACCTTTTTTAACCAAGAAGAAGAAGTCTTGTGGTGGTGCTGCTGATGGGAGGCAGCTGGCGTGCAGGGCTCCCCTGAGCGGTGGGTCACGATGACCACAGCCGCCCCGTGGCGGGGACGGGGGGTGTACCACCTCATCCTCATGGACCACGACCACCAGGGAGAAGACTGTGTGCGAGGCTTCTGGAGCCATTGCTGCTGCCATCGTGGTGGCCTCCACCACCATCCCCGAGGTTCCGATCCTGCCAAAGAGGTACAGCAGGACAACCAGGGCGAGACAGGAGCTGGAGCCCCAGGGCCCCGAGCCAGCCGCCCCTCCTGCCCCGGGCCCAAAGAGCCACAGCAGCCGGCACCCCGCTGCCGTGACCCTCAGCCCTGCAGACGTCCAGCCGGGGACTCGGGGGCCCCCGCCCTGATGCTGTCTCAGCCACTGTCCAAACAGCTTTCCCTCAAGACTGAGCACAGTCCTCCTCTGGCAGTTTCTCTGTGAGCTCCTTCCAGTTAGGTCCAGGGGGCACATCTCTTTCACAAACCCACACCCCCAGCCCCATCCTGCCTGACTCCACCCTTGCTTTGTCCAGATCCCTGCCACCACCCTTCCAAAAAGCTGTGCTACATTGGGAATCCACTGATGGGGGTTTTGCTGTCTCTCCAAACACAACAGCTAGACAGATGGGCAGGCAGACAGACAGATAGCCCAGGAGCCTCCTGGTCAGGAGTCAGGGGTCAAGACAGGCTCCTGAGAGGGGCTGCCCTGGGGTGACCGCAGAGGAAGGGCCACATCCACAGCTCACAGAGCAAAATGTTCAGCCCCACAGTCAGGCACAAGGCAACTATCTTGGACCACTAACCACACGCCCAACTTGTTGCTTTATGACTTGTTCCGGCACTAAATGACTGCTAGCTGGCTTGTGATGATGGATCAGAACCTCTCTCCCTCTTTAAGAAAGGCTTTGGGAAAAACTCAGTTCTTCTCCAAAGGTGTCTACTTCTTTAGCAAAGAGTCAAAGATGAAGACAAGGGATGACCTTGAGGAAGACATGGGATGACCGTGAGGAAGACACAGGATGGTCTGTAGGATGAAAGCTTGCTGCAGTGTCCGCAGGCCTAGAATGAGCCTGGTGGTTGGTCACCACCTCCGTCCAGCCCCCAGCAAGGGGCTGGGTTAGCCTGGACTCAGGCTCATTCTTGGCTCTCCTCTATCTGGACATTGAGTAATCCTCTCTCCAGTTATCATCTTACCACTAAGGTCCAGCATTTGAAGGCCAATCAGATGACAGCTCTGTGTTACCTCTGTCCTTCCCGGTCACCTTGCCAGATTCAGGATATATTCCAAGTATTACAAGCACAAACTGTTCTTCCGGAGAGAACTCACCTGTGACTCCTTAGCCCATAGAAGAAGCTATTGACAGGGGAAAGCACTTTGGAATTCAGAGGACCTGCCTTCCAAGCCCAGCTTCCTGACTGTGTGGCCTTGGGAGAGTGACATGGACCCCTCCCCATTCCGTTTCCTAACATGAACTGGGACTAACGTCTGCCTCTGGGTGACCCAACAAGTCAGGGACTTAGTGAAACAGCTCAGGTGGGGCCTGGCACCCAGCAGATGCTTTACAAGTGGGAACCAGCAACTATCATGCCGGACTTCCTCCACTGCCAGACACACACTTGCTCCCATTTTAATGAATCAGAATATGTCTTAAAACTGATGGGTCCATTAACCAGGCTGCTTTTTCTCCCTATCTCTCAAAAAGCTGTTTTCTAACCAATGGTGTATTTTACAATTGATGACATCCTGGACATAAGGTAATAAATTTGTTTCCTGCCACAGAAAAAAAAGAAAAACCGAGTATTAGTACCTAGAGAGTGTAAGTCACTACAATGTATTAAACTAATTCTGTTAAATTAAAAAAAAAATTACACTCTTCCACCTATCAGCTAATGACATATAGCATGTGTCGGGGGGGGGGGGGGGGGGGGTGTTCAGTCGCTCAGTCGTGTCCAACTCTACGTCCCCATGGACTGTAGCCCACCAGGCTCCTCTGTCCATGGGATTCTCCAGGCAAGAATCCTGGAGTGGGTTGCCATCCCCTCCCCCAGGGGATCTTCCCCACCTAGTGATCGAACCCGCGTCTCTTACATCTCCTGCACCGGCAGGTGAATTCTTTGCCATTAGCGCCATTCTTGTGATGACTTATTTCACCCTCTCTTTCCCAGTAGACGGTGAGCTCCACGAGGACAGGATTCACACCGCCCTCAGGGCTGCACGGGAGACAGGCTAGGTGCCCGGAGAGCATGGGCCGGATGGAGGGGCAACAACACCTCCTGAGGGCTCACAGGGCAACGCGTAAGGGCATGCAGAACATCATGCGCGGCTCCACAATCTGAGAGACACACGCACCGGAAGACGCTGCCTTTGGGTCCGGTTTCCTATGCTCCAGAAGCAGGGTTTGGTGGCCTCAGGTATCAAAAAATACACACGGTCTGCCGGCGATGACTGTAAGCTGAAAACTAAGGACAGGAAGGAGCTCCCTGGTGTGCAGTGGTTACGACGCTGCACGTTCACTGCCGAGGGACGGGGTTCAATCCCCGGGCGGAGACCTGAGACCCCACAGTCCACGTGGTGCGGCCAAAATGAAATAAAAATAAGGGCATGAGCATCGGAGGAAATGGATCAAGCGGACGCCATGGAACTCAAACCCAAGTGCACAGAGGACGATGCTGTGAACGTGAAGACAATTACAGAACGAGAGGAAGCACCTGCTCACCCTCTGTCTGAGAAGGCTGCCTGTGCGGACGCGTAAAGAACCCTCGTGACTCAGCAACAGAAACACCCGATTCAGAAGTGAACCGAGAGGCTCAGTGCACACACGGACAATGGCCAGACCACATGGGAAAGCCGCGCTCTGACCATTAGCCCACAGCAGAGCCCAGGCACTGCACAACAAGGCCCGGCCAAGGACTCGATCAGTAACTGGATCAATACCCGGACAAGGCCAGGACTCGATCAGTAACTGGATCAATAACTAGACAAGGCCAGGACTCAATCAATGACTGGATCAATAACCGGACAAGGCCAGGACTCGATCAATAACTGACGGCTCCCTCGTCGTCGTCCTGCTTCCGACACAGACTCACTCAGAGAAAGCCCCACCTGACCAGTCCCCGGGACGCCCCTTCTTCTGGCAGCCGTGCCCAGCTCCCACCAGGTCCCCAGCCCCCATCAGGCGCCCTGAGCTACCCTCTGCTCCACTAGGAAGCTCGCACAGCCCTCTGCCTGCCTCTGAGTCTCTGCCAAGCACAAGTTCAGCCAGCTCTGAGCAAATAGCCTTTGCTTTCACCATCCCCACTTGGTTCCAGAGGAGAAAGGATTTGAACAGACATTTCTACCACGAAGATACAGAAATGGCCAACTGGAACGTGAAAATACGTTCCACACTGTTGGTTATTAAGGAAACGCAAATAAAAACCACAACCAGATACTGCTTCACAACTTCTAGGGTAGTTACGGAAAAAAAAAAAATGGATAATAACCTGTGTCAGTGAGGATGTGGAACAATTAGACCCCTCAGCCCTGCTGGTGGATTATGTAAAACACTGGCAACCAGTATGGGATTCCATAAAAAGTTCAACGCAGGGTGACCATAAGACCCGGCAATTCTTCTCCTGGGTACCAACCCCCCAAAAAAGACTGAGGACCCATGTACAGACAGACAGGACTCAATGAATGTTGACAGTAACACCACTCCCAACAGCCAAAAGGTGGAAAGCGCCCAACGTCCAGCAAAGGAGGAACGGACACACAAACTGTGGAGCAGCCACGCAATGGATCATTCGGCCTCAGAAAGGAAGGGGGCTCTGGGGCAGGCTGCAGCGCAGATGAACTTCAGAGACATGCAAAGGGGACGAGGTCGGGCAGAAATGGTCACACAGCGTGTGACTCCTTTCTTACAGAACATCCAGAAGAGGCAGAGGCAGAAAGCAGCCAAAGGGCTGCCAGGCCTGGGCAGGGGGTGGCAGGGAGGGCGTGCTCCTTGGGTGTGGGGCTTCTGAAGAGGAGACGCTCTGAAACTAGAACAGCAGGACGTCGTGCACGCACTCACTGCCGCTAAACTGTTCACTTTCACATGGCTAGTCGTGCGTGCTTAGTCGAATCTGACCCTTTGCAACCCCACGGACGGTACAGCCTGCCAGGCACCTCTGTCCCTGGGATTTTCCAGCCAAGAATACTGGAGTGGGTTGCCATTTCTTCCCGACCCAGGAACCCAACCCACGTCTCCTGCGTCTCCTGCGTTGGCAGGCGGATCCCTTACTGCCGCACCACCTGGGAAGCCTGTGTATGTGACACGAATTCTTCTCTCGTGAGAGCCTCCCCACCGTCAGTAAAGTCTCAGAGAATAAAAATGTCAGAATGGGTTTGGGGATGGCAGGAGCTGGGTTTCATTCGGTATCCAGTCGGCCCGTGCACAAAGGTCCTGGGTGAACTTGGGGGCTCCAGGTCTGTGGACACTGCAGCCACCCTGGGCAGTGGGGAACGGGTCAGCCGGCTGTCCCAGGCACCCCCAACGGCCAGAGCTCTGTTTGTGACCTGGGAAGGGGCTACATGAAAACCCTCAAGTCAGACTTCGCCTCGGAACTCCTGGAGCCCCTCAGACCAGCTGCCAGAGCCTGGGCGTTGGTGCTCAGCAGGATGGAGACTCTCCCCGAGATGAGATTGGGCTTGGGGTTTCTTAGCGGTAGCGCCTCACATATGGGGCTGATCATTCTTCCAGGGGTGGGGGGGTGGGGGGTGGGTGTCCTGTGCACTATAGTGTTGAACTTTATGTAGTATGCGTCTGTACCCCTAAATGCCAGAATCACCCCTGCCCCCAGCTGTGACGAAAACATCTCCGGATGTGGCCAGACCCCCCCACCCCGGGGATGAAGCCTGCCCCTACCTGCACGAGAAAGGGGTGCAGCCCGTGACACCGGCCCCCCGGCGTGTACAGCTGAGCAAACACCACTGCGTGGGTAGCAGTCTTGCCCATGTTGCCAACCCAGAACTTGGCGGCTTCGAAATCGGGGGAATGGATGATGAATTCCTGCATGAGAGGGAAAAAAATGGACGTTAGAGACGGACGCACGCTGGAGTCTGCATCTCTTTGACACACTCAGTCTTCTCTGTTCGAAACCTTGGAGGTGTGAATAAGAACGATGGAAGGTTATTTCCTGTATGGCACGGGGAGCCCCATTTAAAAAAAAAAAAAGCATATCCTGGGTCTTATGACTTAAAGAAGAACCTTCCTATGGAAGATGATGATGAACATGGCAAACAGTAAAACACGCTGCAAGCTGCCAACACCCCGACAGAGTTCACCCGTTCAGGGAGCCTTCCCCAAGCACAGATCGGGGCAGGGGGCCCCCTCCTCGCCTTCACACCTGCCTGATCCCCCACCCACTGCCGATTCGCCAAGTTCAGCTCCTGTCTATCCCCCCACAAGCTCCCCGGGAGCCCAGAAGCACAAGGTAGACAAGCACAGAAATTCAAGAAGGAGCAGACAGGAGGGGACAGGTCCCCTGAGGACACGGCCCGGGGCCTGGGGAGGCAGGAGGGAGCAGAGGGAAGCAGGGCTGGGGGCTGCCCCCCGGGGAGGTCCCACCTGTTTGTGGGCGTCACCCAGCCAGCTGGCTCCCTCGAGCACACACCACTGCTCTCTCCTCCCCATCGGCACGCTGCATCTCCCTGTCACTCGTGACATCAGGTAGTGATGCTCCCAGATGGGACCGGTCGTGCTGGTCCCATCCCATCCCTGCCCCACAGCCCCTGGCACAGCCAGTTTCTCCACGCTGGTAACGGGACTGCGTCTACCCTCCAGCATAAGAGTCCCACCGGCATGTCAGATGCCAGCAGCTGTCTCTGGCAGCAGTGCTGAGTACACAGCAGGGTGCTCAACAAACACCCGAGGGAGGCCTGGGGCTCCTAACCTCAGCGATCTTCACTTAAGGACTAAAGCCCAGAGGAAGAGGGTCAGAGACAACAGCCTCCAAGGTAACTGAGTTTCGCTCAGGCCATGGAGGCCCCAAGGCCGTGGGGGTACCACCCTCCCTCTGCAGAGTCAGAAAGGGCCTCCCCTGTCCCCCAGCCCAGCACTGAGGGCCAAAGGACACCAGAAGCTGAGGGAAAAGAAGGGCTGAGAGCCAGAAAGACCCGGGTGCATATAAAGATATCTCGTGGCATAAACAACAGTCCCTTGGACTGCAAGGAGATCAAGGCAGTCAATCCTAAAGGAAATCAACCCTGATTACTCATTAGAAGGACTGATACTGAAGCTAAAGCTCCAATACTTCAGCCACCTGATGGGAAGAGCTGACTCGGTGGAAAAGACCCTGATGTGGGAAAGACTGAAGGCAGGAAGAGAAGAGGATGACAGAGGATGAGATGGTTGGATGGCATCACCGACTCAATGGACATGAATTTGAGCAAGCTCCGGGAGACAGTGAAGGACAGGGGAGCCTGGCGTGCTGCAACCCACAGGGTCGTAAAGAGTTGGGCACGACTGAGCAACTGAACGACAAGGATACCCAAGAGGCCCCACTGCTTGCTCTCAGCCCGTGGGGTGTGGCTGACCCTTGTCTCTGCTCCCAGGCACCACCAGCAGCCTGCAGGGCACCCACTGTGACCCGCGCCCCCCACCACCCCTGTTCTTCCAGGGGCTTCTCAGGTTCATCCTCTTGCACCCCCTGCCCACATCACCTTCCGCACACCCAGCCCACCTGTCCCATGAATAAACACACGGTGAGCAGACACATTGGGCAAGGCTTCACCCTGCTGCACACAACTCAGCCAAACCACACGCACCAGTCGGCGGAAGGGCCGCAGGTTCCCAAGACACAGGACCCCTGAGGAAGGGGCAGGAGGATGTGGCCATCTGGGAGATGTGGGGGCCAAGAAGCCCAACACCAGTGACGGGAGAGGGGCGGCAGGACGGGGAGCGGCACAGACCACGGGTTCCCCGCACGGCCCGTCCTCTCCCCCGCGCCCCGCTGCACAGACCAGCCGACACACCACGCCGCTGTCTGCTCACGGACTGGCCTCCTCTGGGACACGAGCTCCCTCCCCGAGGACTGCCGGGTCCCCACGGCACTAAGGACCGAGCCCGCACAGAGCGGCCTTCAACGCACAGCGCGAAGCGGGGCCGGCCACACAGGGGCCACGGAGCGTCCACGGGTGCAGGAGCGGCCACGGGACCAGAGGGGCTGGGCTGCCGTCCCGAGAGCCTGGCCCCACACGGGGCACAGGGGGCAGGCCGCTAGAGAGGGACGACGCTCAAGGCGAACCTGTGTTCCTGTCTGCCCCATAAAACACGAGCAGCTGCAACGTTCACGAATTGCACACCAGGTAAACCCAGATTTTATAAAAAGACAGCCTGCGCCCTCGCCTCGTTCACAACCTACCCAAGTCCAACCCACAGCAGACGCCCGGGTGCGGCCAGGCTTCACCGCTCACAACCTTCATCTCCTAAGCTCTGCTGTTCACAGCGTGATGGATCTCGGAGTGCACTTTTAGGCAAGAGCCAGGTTTCTTGGTCTAATTATGTGACAACACCAGGTTTCACGTGCTCGAAGCCTAGAGACAGCACGGGTGGGTATCACCTACCTGGGTGGTGGGGTCGTAGTGAGCGGTTGTCCGCATGCCCTTGGTGTTACTCCCATGACTCACTTCCGTCAGAGCAAAACATCCAAAAATCTAGCATGGAAACAGAGAATGTGGTCAGGTGAAAAGGCCCTTTCTACACCTTCCTGGAGGGACCCTGCCGCCAGGCCTCCTTTTTGGCCCAGACCACCAACCAAAGCCCTCAGTTTCCATTTCCTGCCTGACGCACAGCAGGCTCACTGAGGCAGCCTGCCACCGGCTGCAGCTCCCGCCTGGGGGGTGGGCAGCCGGCAGAGGGCTGATGGGGGCCTGGCTAAGTCAGCAAAGTGGCTAAGGGCAGCTCTCAGCTGCAGAAGAAAACGAAGGTGCTACTTCGATAAGAAAAAGTTCAGTTCCTATCATGCTAGGAATCCGGCACGGCCCAGTCTGGTAGAGAACAGCATGAACTGTTTGGCGAGCAGCCCCAGCACAGCATGAAGGGAGAGGAGAGGCCCCCCACGTGCAGACCCTCTGCGGCAGTGCGCCCTCCCCACCCATCTCCAAGGAGAGCAGGTGACAGGACACGAGCTCACACGTGAACCCCAGCTAACCTCCATACTCAAGACCTTCGGAAGGTATCTGAAGTGTTGTTCGGAACCGGAGCTGTAAATCGCGAATCCAAAAGTCTGAAAATACAACATCACCATGTAAACAGGTGGAAGCTAAGGCGTGCTGCCACTCTGGGACTTTACCCCCACTTCCTACTCTGACACACACACACACACACACCCAGCCCCCGGCACCACACCAGCCCCCAGGAAGGGCTCCAGCTTCCCAGACAAAGCAGCACTGGGGTCCACGGCCCAAGGTAGACCCTAGTCCTCAGCTGCCTGGCCTTGCGCTCACAGAGTGACAAGACCCGGGTCCTTGTCACAAGCCATTTACGTGCATTGAACAGGACCAGGAGAGGGTCCATGAACACCAAGGGGGTGGGAGTGGAGGGCGGGGGGACGAGAGTGTGGGATGGGCAAGGCAAGCCCACCTTTCTTTGAGACAGCACATGGATGACACCACCTTCCCAAGTTTATCTCCACCCGCGTATCAAAGAAGCAGAAAAACAGGCTTCACCTTTGACCTACTTTCCCTCCTTCCCTTCCTTCCACTTATCATGATTTTTCATATAACAGTCCCAGAGCTGCTATTTCTATCGAGTTTTAACTGCGTTGCATTATTCAAGCACTGACGTGTGTAAGTCTGCATAAACAGCTGAAAAAAACTGGGCTTTTTTCACTACAAGTCACAAGGTCTACCCACATATTTTCATCTCTGCTTTTGTTTTTTCACCAATTTTCTTTTTTTTTTTTCCTCTTTATTTATTTTGGTGCAGCACGCGAACTCTTAATTACAGCTTGTGGGAATCTAGTTCCTGACCAGCAATCAAACTCAGGGCCGCATGCGCTGAGAACATGGAGTCTTGGCCACTGGACCCCCAGGGAAGTCCCTCATCTCTGCTTCTGTTTCCTTTATCATTTTCTAGAAATCTCTTTAAGTGAACGTTTCCCAAATGCACAAGTCTCACAGAGCTCTAGAAGCGGGCAAATGCTGCCAACCAGCAAACCACAGAGGCAACTGCCGAGCGCATCTCAGGCTCGGTGGACGGAGCGCTGCTGAGCCCCGGCACAGCGTGGGACGGGCCCCTCTCCGCTCCTCCCCTCTGCCGGGGCAGCTCACCAGCACGTGCAGGAAGAACTTGGAGGCCAGGGACCAGTCGTACATGCCCAGGCATTCGATCAGCGCCAGGACCTTCGGCAGGCTGCCCAGCACGTCCCCCATGGGGAGGAAGTCGTACTCGAAGATCCTCTTACAGCGCAGGAAGTTCAGCTCCTGGTACTTCTCCACAGAGAGCCAGCTGCCACGGCGATGGGCGAAGAGGGGGTCGTTCTCCAGAGCTGAGAAGATGGTTTTCTGGAAATGCAGCAGGCAGGGAACAGTGGATTTGGAGGCAAAGTATGTCATTTTTTCACTAAGCTCTGGCTTACACGGCCTTCTCAAGGCCACGGGCTGCCTCGGGTGGGCAGTCTAACCCAGAAACACAGGAACAGAGATGAGACTCCTTCTCAGGGGAGAGCGGAAGGTACCAGGCTTAGGAAGCCCAGTTTGTCTGTGTCCATTCATTCCAGGCTCCCGAGAGTTCCCCGAGGACCCCACCATCTTTCTGCTGATGAACAGGAGCCCAGCAGAGCCCCCCCGCGCCACTGAGGCCCCCAGCGGCCACCAGCCCAGCCTCACCTTGTAGCGCAGGATGTCCTCGCCCTCCCAGAACAGCACCAGCTCCTTCCAGGGGAACGAAGCGCGGGCGCGGGCCACGTGCAGGGGCCCCTGGGGCGGGTCCAGCAGCATGGGGCCATCACTGCTCTCCCTGACGGGCACCATCGTTCCCGGCCGCCGCCTGCACAGACACACGGCCCGAGTCAGCGCGCCCTTCTCACGCCATCACCGTGCCGCAGGATGCGAAAGACAGACAGACCAGCTCTGATCACAAAGGAAAGGGCAGTGGGGACGACCCCACACAGCTGGTGTCCACTCTCCCAGGAGAGGGCGGGAGGCGAGTGCTCTGGGCTCCACTCCTGCAACGAGGTGACCAAGAGTCAGACGGGGGCCCAGAGCAGCCCTATGGCCGGCCCTGTGAAGCGCTCAGCGTGGCCAGAGGATGCCTCACTTGCCCAGAGCCACCAGACCCGCAGCCCGGGAAGCCTCACCCTGGAGCTCTGGCCGGCCCGCTCCAGCCACATCCCTGGAGTCCCCCTGAGCCGACCTGGACGGGGGATGTCTTCAGAGTCTGTGACTCTACTTGACACAGAAGCATCTGGCTTCCCACTAACACAGCAACCTAGCTCTCTTGACCAAAGGATCATTCTGGAATTTACTGAGCAGACTAGCTCCTTCTCTGGTGTCTGGGTCAATGAAGGCAGGGATGGGAGGGGCTTGTGAACAAAGACCCAGAGAGACACCAAGAGAGCAGAGTCCTGGGTGTGGACCCCCAGAGCAACTCTTTAAGGTCCAGGAGAACATTTAAATCCTGTAGTTAAACATGAGGATAGTCTGGGAGGTCGAACTCTGAGTATGATGGTCAACACTGCTGACACACAATGGGAAAGTGGTCAGTCTGACTGGCGAGACCCTTGTGTCTTCCGGGTGAGGGGGAAGGATCCGCAGGGCACACGTGAGGACCTGCTCGAGTCAGATAGCTTCCCTGGTGGCTCAGACAGTAAAGAATCCACCTGCAATCCGGGAGACCTGGGTTTGATCCCTGGGCTGGAAAGATCCCCTGGAGAAGGGAATGGATTCGACCCCTGTGTTGGGAACATCCCCTGGAGGAGGGAATGGCTACCCACTCCAGTATCTGGCCTAGAGAACTCCCTGGAGAGAGGAGCCTGGCAGGCTACAGGCCATGGGGTTGCAAAGAGTCAGACATAACTGAGCGACTTTTATACTTTGTGTATCAGAGACTGTGCCCTCGACAGACAGCAGCTTATTCCATCTCTTAAACTGTAGAGCAGGTTCTACTGGCCCTCTAAAGGATGCAAGAACCCCAACTCAGAGAAGCTCGCTGTCTTTTGCAAGCTCCCACCACTGAGAAGTGGCAGAGGGGGAAGCTGAATTCTGCAGAACACGAGCCCTGGGCAAGCTCTTTAGCAATCACTTTAAGATGCTGAGAGGACTTCCCTGGTGGTCCAGTGGCTAAGACCCCATGCTCCTGATGTAAGGGAAATGGGTTTGATTCCCAGTCAGGGAGCTAGATCCCACATGCCACAACTAAAGATATGTACAACTAAATATAAATAAATTAAAAAAAGATGCTGAGAAAGAAGCACAGACTAAATCCAGAGCAAGCAGAAAGCAAGTAGACAAAAGACTAGAGCAAGAAGTATGGACTAGAAAAGAGAAAATCGGCAAAAACAAAAGTTGGTTCATGGAAAACACTGACAAAACTGACAAACCTTTAGCTTGATTGACCCAGTTAAAAAAAAAGAGGGAAAACACAAATTCCTAACTTGAGGGACCAAAGCGGGACTATTACCACCAACCTTAAAGAAATAAAAAGGATTCTAAGGGAATACTATGAACCACTGTATGCCAACAAGTAAGATAACTTCCGTGAAACTGACAAGTTCCTAAAAAGACACAATCTACCAAAACTGACTCATGAAGAAATGGAACATGAGATCAGATCCATTAAGAAGAAAGAGACTGAATTAGGAATCAATACCCACAAAGAAAAGCCAGAGGGCTTCCAGTGTGAACTCTACCAAATATTTAAAGAAGAAAAATAAAAATTTACGAACTCTTACAAAAAAATAGAAGAGGAGGGAACACACCTATAAAGCGCTCCATTAAGCCAGTATTACATTGAAACCAAAGAGATGACAAGAAAACTGCAGACTAATATCCCTCATGAATATAAATGTAAAAATCCTCAATAAATCTTGCAAAGTGAATCCAGCAACATATTAAAAAGATTATGCATCACAACCATATGAGATATATCCCAGGAATGTAAGGTTGACTCAACATTTGAAAATCAATTCACATAATACACCATATCAACAAAATAAATGGACAAAAAGTACAAGATCATATCAATAGATGCAGAAAAGCATGTGACAGAATCGAACATCCTTTCATGATAAAAACTCAACAAACTAGAAATAGTTTGATAAAACTATTGAAGCTGATAAAAGACATCTACAAAAACCCTCTAGCTATCATTGTCCTTAACTATAAAAGACTTAATGCCTTGCCCCCAAAATTAGGAATAAGACAAGGATGTCCACTCTACCACATCTAGTCAACACTGTACTGGAAGTGCTAGCCAATGCAATCAAGCAAAAAATGATATAAAAGGCATCCAGATTAGAAACCTATCTCTACCTGCAGATGACATGATTTTGTACAGAAATTCCTAAGAAATCCACTAAAAAACTATTAGGATTAATAGATCAGTCTATCCAGTTTGCAGGGAACAAGATCAGTAAGCAAAACTCAGCTGATTCCTATACACTAACAGTGAACAACTCAATAATGAAATTAAGAAAACAATTCTATCTATGACAGCATCAAAAATGATAAAATACTTGGAATAAACTCAACAAAAGAAGTGTAAAACTTATACTCAGAAAACTACAAAACATTTTTTTTAGGGTTAGTTGACCTATAAACCCAAGTGCCAGCCTGGAAGTCCTCTCTGCCCCCGTCCCAGAATCCAATTAGTTACCAAACCCCTCCCTCATTGCACCTCTCTAATACCAAACAACAGACTGCTTCCAAATAGGAAAAGGAGCACGTCATGGCTGTATATTGTCACCCTGCTTATTTAACTTATATGCAGAGTACATCATGAGAAATGCTGGGCTGGAGGAAGCACAAGCTGGAATCAAGATTGCCGGGAGAAATACCAATAACCTCAGATATGCACATGACACCACCCTTATGGCAGAAAGTGAAGAAGAACTAAAGGGCCTCTTGATGAACGTGAAAGAGGAGAGAAAAAAAGTTGGCTTAAAGCTCAACATTCAGAAAACTAAGATCATGGCATCTGGTCCCATCACTTCATGGCAAATAGATGGGGAAACAGTGTCAGACTTTATTTTGGGGGGCTCCAAAATCACTGCAGATGGTGACTGCAGCCATGAAATTAAAAGACGCTTACTCCTTGGAAGGAAAGTTATGACCAACCCAGATAGCATATTAAAAAGCAGATACATTAGTTTGCCAACAAAGGTCCATCTAGTCAAGGCTATGGTTTTTCCAGTGGTCATGTGTGGATGTGAGAGTTGGACTGAAGAAAGCTGAGTGCCAAAGAATTGATGCTTTTGAACTGTGGTGTTGGAGAAGACTCTTGAGAGTCCCTTGGACTGCAAGGAGATCCAACCAGTCCATTCTAAAGGAGATCAGTCTTGGGTGTTCATTGGAAGGACTGATGTTGAAGCTGAAACTCCAATACTTCATACACCTCATGTGAAGAGTTGACTCATTGGAAAAGACCCTGATGCTGGGAGGGATTGGGGGCAGGAGGAGAAAGGGATGACAGAGGATGACATCACGGACTCAGTGGATATGAGTTTGAGTAAACTCTGGGAGTTAGTGATGGACAGGGAAGCCTGGTGTGCTGCAATTCATGGGCTCCAAAGAGTCAGACACGACTGAGCGACTGAACTGAATACCAAATAAATCCTATCCTTTCTCTTTGAGCCCAAGAAATCTTATTCTAACAACCTCCAGTTATTGAGCAAACATTGACTGTGGGTGGAGCAGCTGCTTTCCAGATGCTAGGAACCGCAGAACAATCAGTACTCTCACCTTCCAGGTGATGAAAGCAAATGTGTTAGTAAAGAAGATTGTCCAGGGCCTTAACGACCTCAGTCCAAACTCCAGAATCCTAAGCCACCAACATTACTGCATGATGTTACACACAAGTATCTGAAGCCAGACACCTGGCGTCAGATTCCAACTTTAGAGCTTAGGCGTGGAGCGAACTTGGCAAAGTCACTTCACCTGCCTGGCGGGTGGTGACAAGGGCCAGGCTGATCCTGCATGGCCGGTCGGCTGTTACCACTCACTGGGACGCCTAGAGCATTTACAGGCACGGAACGGAACGGAACGTCTATACCATTTGGGGGGTGGGGGGGCGGAGGCATCTATACCATTTGGGGGGGGGGGGGGCAACAGTCGCCTTCAGACAATTTCAGAAGGGGCCCTAACATGCAGACCCGACCATGCTCCCGCCGCTAGGTGACAGCTGTCCTCTGACCTCAGGGGACAAGTGTCTGAACTCCTCAATATACATCTCGCGCGTTTACCTGCCCGGCCGCCTGCCCTCGCAGCCTCTGCGCTCAGCAGTTCCTGAAGAAGACGCGTTTGTCCCCCACCCCACCCCGACCTTTGCACGCGCCACCCCCGCGTACCCTCTGGGCGAAGGCGGGCTGGACTTTCAGACGTCGCCGGGCCCTCCGATCGCGGTCCCCGCACCGCCCCGCGAACACACGGCAGGCTCCCAACGCCGGTCTCCCGGAAGACCACCCGGATCCAGGAACCTGGGGAGCGCGCGCGCAGCCGCAGACAGGCCCTGCGTCCCGACCCCGGGCCTGACGTCATCGCGGCCGCCGCTGCGCCCTGTCACCCGGGAGACGCAGGACGCCTGCGCGAGCCCTGCTGCTGGAAAGTGGAAGTGAACGTTGCTCCGTCCTGCCCCACTCTTTGCGACCAGAGCAGAATTCTCCAGGCCAGCATACTGGAGTGGGTAGCCGTTCCCTTCTCCAGGGGACTTTCCCAAGCCAGGGATGGAACCCAGGTCTCCCGCATTGCAGGAGGATTCTTTACCAGCTGAGCCACCAGGAAAGTCCAAGAATACTGGAGTGGGTAGCCTTTCCCTTCTCCAGGAATTCTCTGGAATTCTCCCACTGGCGTGGGTCAGTCAGTCAGTTCAGTCGCTCAGTCGTGTCCGACTCTTTGTGACCCCATGGACTGCA